CTGTTTTCAGAACGTTTGCTAACATATAACAATTTGACTCTCTTCCTCTAGAACTGGAACTCCTTTGTTTCCCCACACACATCTTTACTTCTGTCCTCTGTAAGTTGAACGTCTTACACAATTTAACAACCTCGAATGCAATGGCCCGTGTTGTCACCCTGTGCCAGAGAGATGCGCACGTATTCACTACATGCACATCATGTTTACTATAGAAGTTATCACAATAGTCAGTGAATGGAAGTTCAGGTTCATTGCAATACTTGTCTAGCCACCAGTTTACCCCAACAGTCTAGACATCCATTCACACCCTTCCTAGGTAAAATCCTTCATAAGATAGGGATCCCTCCCTTTGACCTAATTAGACCAACAGCTGCCTTGTAATTGGCCAGCAACTCTTCACGCTTGCCTTTCCTAACATTGTTACCTTCAGCACTGAGGTAGATAACTGGGTTGTCCTCATCATTCCCTAACATGTAAACTACATCAGCCACACCTGTACCAGGGAAACACACTGTCTTACCTCCTTATCTATATTACAGAAAACCTGATCCACATATCGAGTCTAAGAACCTCCAGCAACAACATAAATATCCTTTTTCTTATATGCTGAGGCATTTGTTCTATTTCCTTATCCACAACTGTACAGTCATCCTGAAGAACAATAAAGTGATTTCTTTTCTCTAACTCTGATTCAACCTTCGTCAATACCATCTTCCTCCCCCTTCCTGAAACCACTTTCTATTCATCACATCAAACATGTTTACCTTCCTTTCTGCTAATCACCTCACAATGTTTTTGCCATCCTTCTTATACAAATGAGATTTTAATTTCTCATTCCTCTCCTAATGAACAAGAACATTAAAGAACTAAAACCCTAAAGAACTAGAACTAGGAACTAGAAGTCTACAACGCTCAAGAATGATACTGCAAAAGTTATTGTTTTGTGTTCAAATATTTCACTTACGCAAAATTCCTTGAGAAAATAAGACAGGCCCACATAACCTTTCTATATATATATATATATATATATATATATATATATATATATATATATATATATATATATATATATATATATATATATATATATATATATATATATATATATATATATATATATATATATATATATATATATATATATATATATATATAATTTTTATAGGAAGAGTAAACATATATTATGCTACTAAACTGTATTGACTTGGTGATTAATTATCAGCTTTCTCAGATAATATGAAATTAATAACGTATTAGCTGATGGTGTTGACAAACTCACTAACTCACTATCATGTATTTTTCCTGTTACTTTTCTCCTATTCAGTTTGTTTTATGATCTTCAAGATCATAAAAGGGATTATTAAACTGTTTTCTTTGTCTCCACATTTTAAAAAAATGAAATGCAGCCTTAATAATAATAATAATAATAATAATAATAATAATAAATAATAATAATAATAATAATAATAATAATAATAATAATAGTAATAATAATAATAGTAATAATAATAATAATAGTAATAATAATAATAATAATAATAATAATAATAATAATAGTAATAATAATAATAATAGTAATAATAATAATAGTAATAATAATAATAATAGTAATAATAATATAATAATAATAATAATAATAATAATAATAATAATAATAGTAATAATAATAATAATAATAATAATAATAATAATAGTAATAATAATAATAGTAATAATAATAATAATATAATAATAATAATAATAATAATAATAATATAATAATAATAATAATAGTAATAATAATAATAATAGTATAATAATAAAGTAATAAATAATAATAGTAATAATAATAATAATAATAATAATAATAATAATAATAATATCATCTTTATTTCTACAAGTACATGTACAAGGTATACAGTCGTAGCTGACATCAGTGACATACTACTATATAGAAAGCCGGGGAAATTAGGTCAGTTTTGTCCCAGGATGCGACCCACACCAGACGACTAACACCCAGGTACCCATTTTATACTGATGGGTGAACATGGACAGCAGGTGTCTTATGGAAACACGTCCCTAATGTTTTCCAGCCGTACCGGGGATTCGAACTCCGGACCTCAATGTGTGAGCTGAATGCGCTACCGATCGAGCTGAGGGACAGTATAGTTTACAACCTCAGTTTTCTATACGTGAAAAGTTATATCACTTCTATATTTGGTTTATAACCTAAATTAATGGATTATACTTGATGGAAGAGAGACAGTTTGAGGAACTGTTCCGCTTAGGTAAATTTTCCCAATAAACAAGAACAATAAATCACTTAAACTAGAAAATATCCATAATTTTAACAGGTACATTAATACGCTCTGGTGAATTTTAATAAGAAACTTACATATCTGGATACAAATTATCTGTCTGTTGCTTTATTTATTCAGATATAATATCTTTATAATACTATCTTACCTTATTATAATTTGTTGCTGTACTTAATTCTAGACAGAATATCTTCATCGTTTTTTTTAATCCCAAAAAGCAAACATCTTAATCACAATGTAATTTCCACTTTTATCACAGCAGCAGCAGCAACAGCAACAGCACCAGCTGCAGCATGGACAACAACAACAACAACAGCAGCAGCAGCAGCAACAACAGCACCAGCTGCAGCATGGACAACAACAACAACAGCAGCAGCAGCAGCAACAACAGCACCAGCTGCAGTACCAGAAGAAGAAGGGAAGGAAGCATGGTCGACGTACCATTCCCATCTTCTACTGCCTGTTAGTGATCGCCCTCTACGTGCTGTGTGGTGGGTTAATATTCTCACAGTGGGAACGCTGGACACTGCTCGACGCCTGCTACTTCTCGTACATTTCACTTAGCACTATTGGCTTTGGTGACCTGGTGAGGAAAGCGAACGGACATTTTTTTTCTGTTAAATATTGTCTAATGTTCATGTATAAATTGTTACTTCTTAAAATTACCAACAATATTAGGAATAAGTAAGTACAGTAACGTAACAATGTTTGTCTCGCAGTTAGCGGATGGGTGGAACTTCCATCACTCACCCACACAAGTTAGGGTTAGGTAAAGATTAGCCGGTATTCTCCCGGCCCGGGCCTTGTCCAAGTGGTGGCCCGGCCGTGGCTCCCTCTTTAGGGAGTGTCTGAGACCTAAGTCTCCCATGGGAGGAGGCACAAGTACCTCCTCATCTTTGGGACCAACTGTCCCCAGGCCTAGCCACAAGCTAGGCCTCTCTGGTCTGCCATCCCCGCCACAAGGGGGCAAATGGGAATGACAGTCTTATGAGCTAAAGGCTCGGGCTCAGGCACCTACCCTACCCTAGAAGGGTTAGGCATGGTGTCGATGCCCACACAAGTATATGTCGCTTTACATGAAGTATAATGCAGTCTATATTGACTGATCTGTTATGTTCGTTTATATAATTTTATACTGCTCTGCAACACAGAAAATATAAGATTGACAGTGGCAGCAGGGTATATGGATCTCTGGAAGTAGCAATGAATGATACTCTTCCGAGTCAACGTTACTTTACTTTATTTGGGATCTTCTACACAAGCAGTGTGTTGTTGCGGGCCAGGCCTGGAGGGCCATGCCCACGAGAGTGATGGAGTAGAGTTTTCTGAGTGACGTCGGCTGCCAGAGTAAGGCAGAGGTTGCATGGTACGGACTGAGCTTGGTAGGCCTATATGAACCCAACTGGGTATACATTATCCATGGTCGTCGTCGACCATGAATAACTGAGGAATAGGGCGCAGAACACAAAGTAAATGCACATATATACATGTTTACCTGGAGTTTACCTGGAGAGATTTCCGGACATGGACAAAAAAATTTTCCTACAGGGAGGGAAGAAAAAACGAGGGGCGAGTTAAACAACATCGTCCATCAGATACTGCAACACTGGAGACATTGCTACGGCTGAGCTGTAACATAATGGGGTACAATCCCTTCTGGAATGGTGAAGCAGTCATCCTGAAGTAGTCACCGCAGGATTCACTCAACCTGGGGCACAACCTATTGGTGCCCTTGAGTGAAGCATCGTCAGTACTCAGCAACTGGGCAGGACTTCTTGTGGCAAGCGACTCAGGATAATTCTCGACTGGTACTGTCACTGGGGCTGTCACTGCTGGCGAGAGGGGATTGAATCGTAGCAGGGACGACTCAGGAGAAACATCTGGGAGTCGTAGCAGCTTACACCATAAATGGAGTGAGCGGACTAGCAAAGTAACATCATCTTTTGTGCAGGCTGCTCACTGAAGCCGTGGCATGAGTCAGTCAGTTGCCTGCGGCTTGACGATGTCATCCTCTCGACAGAGTGGGAGTCAGAACAGAAGTTAATCTAAGCATCCCCAGACTGGGTCTACTCAAATGCTGTTAATACCCAGGTGATGCCATGAAGATTTCTCGAGGAAATTCAGCAAATGTCGGCCTGGATCCTGCTGCTCCTGTGTCTGACTGATGAAACATGCAGACACAAGTTCAGGACAACTCGTAGAGAAACAGATACTTCTTGTATGAGGCGATAAAGTAGAGACAACATCGTCGGCTTCCTTCCTCTCTCTGAGCAAACAGCTGTGACTGCCGCTTGCAACCAGTATCGTAAAGGATTATGTGTAGATCTTTGGTAGCAGGAATAAATGATATCTTCGGAGACAACATTACTTTATTTGGGGTCTTCTACTTAGGCAGTGTGTTGTGGCAGCTCAGGCCCGCGAGAGTGACGGAGTATAGTTGTTATCTAAGTCACATTAGCTGCCAGAGTGAGGCAGAGGTAAAATGGTATGGGCTGAGCTTGGTAGGCCTATAGGTGGCAGCACCAGCGTGGCACAGAATATGAGCCCATCTGGGCATACAGGTAATGGATGTGCCTAGGTACGTAAATATGGCAATATATAAAGAAATTATGTATGACTTAACAAGGATGTGGCCAAGGACAAAACCATCATTGGGGACCATATAAAAATTTTAATCTGATTACTTATCAGCAATTTGGCATACTGGCATTTCTAATTTTAATAGTGATAAAATTTTTAACGAATTAGAAAAGATATTTAATAGAAAAGTTCTTACCTTACTTGCTCCTGCGACGACTACAGTATTGTCTACAGGTAGACTAGTGTCTTGTAGACAATGTCTCTTAGTAGCAAGAGGATAAGAATTCATACTAGTTCAGACATAATATAACATAACCCTTTATATGAAGACCAAAAGTTGATCCTAAGTGAAAAACTTTCCACTTTACTTGTATAAAACATTTTTTTATTATAGTTTTAGTTAGGCTGTAATTAAAAAAATCAATATATTTTTTATGCATCATAATATTTGTAAATGTTTCACCCCTTGCAGTATTGTGTTAAATTAGACACATGTGCAACTCTTGGGTATCTTTATTGAGGAAACGTTTCGCCACACAGTGGCTTCATCAGTCCATACATAAGAGAAACTTGAAGAACAGGAGGAGAATGAGGTAATCAGTCCCTCAACTTTGAGTCGATGTTGTCAGTTCATCAATCTTGAATAGAATACGGCATACGTGCTGAGAAGGAGCTTATAAACCGCATGGCAGGAAAGGTGCAGCAGTTATAGGTGGTGTAACATTTGTTCAATGTGGAAGTAGGTCGTGCCCAAGGTCGTGCCCAAGGTCGTGCCCAAGGTCGTGCCCAAGGGTTAGGCAAGCGAAGAATTCCCAAGTATTAAGTATTAAGATCCCAAGAAGTTGCAGTGTCAGACACTGCAACTTCTTGGGATCTTAATACTTGGGAATTCTGGACTGATGGACTGACTACATCGACTCAAGGTTGAGGGACTGATTACCTCATTGTCCTCCTGTTCTTCAAGTTTCTCCTATGTATGGACTGATGAAGCCACTGTGTGGCGAAACGTTTCCTCAATAAAGATACCCAAGAGTTGCACATGTGTCTAATTTAACATGTCAGTTCTTTGAACCATTCATCTACAATCTTGCAGTATGGGCTTCTGGGTAATTACCCAATTTGCATTTCCTTAAGGCCACTATTGGATCACTTACGAAATAGCTCATTAATAGTGGGTAGGCAGAATTACACATAAATATAGATATAAAAGTTAATAAATATTTGAAATAGTACTTTTTTCCAGGCTAACTATTTCTTCCTTCAGGTTCCTGGGCGGACGGTGGCTGGTCAGAACGAGGACGAGGAGGTAGAGTCTCAGCAAATTATATGTACAGTGTACCTGCTGGTGGGCAGCGCCCTCGTTGCTATGTGCTTCAACCTAATGCAGGAAGAAACCATAGAAAACCTGAAGACATTCTGGAGAAACCTGGGCTGCATGAGGAAGAAGGAAAGCCAAAGGGAGGTAATAATACGCTTATCAAGAACTGGGGGTTGATGAAAAAAAAAAAAAAAAACAAGCCACTGATGGTGTTTGACGCGTTCCGTAACTACGAAGAGAGAGAGAGAGAAAAAAGAGGCGATTTTGAAGCAGTCTAAAACTGGAAGTTTAGTGAGTATTAATTAGCAAGTACTCAAGAGTCCTTCTAAGTCTTATAATTACGTCTGGGATTTATTCTGTCCATCACAACTAAGAATACTTGTTACTTGTTTCATATATAATACTGATTTCAAGAGTTATGCTGGTTTTTAACCTTTGTTCTGTCTCACTGGTACGAAGTGACGAATGATCAATAGAGTGGCACCACCTTCTTAAACTGCCCATTATCATTGTTCAATGTCTCAAAATTTAAAAAAAATGAATGTAATATGAAGCCCTTATCTCCTTCAACAATTTTTTTAACCGTAAGAAGTGTTCTAAGGTTACCTACGTAACCCCATCATGGAATCTCACTTCGGTCCACGTATATTATTATAAGTATATAAGTTGTGGTTTGTTACAAGGGATGAAGATAGATAAATAGTATATTTTGAGGCAGTAATAACAAGGGCGAAAACTATTAATTCTCGCCCAGTATGCAGGAAAGTTGCAGAACACACTCTAGAACAAATTGACCGAAACGTTGTCTTAACGAAAGCTTCTGAAACACCTGTTTATTCACTGTTGTTGACAGTACACTATTCGAAGCCATGTGGGAAACAAACTGGACAATTCGTTCACTTTCACTGAAGTCTCAGGGACGTAATTAAACATAGTGAGTTGAGACAAGCACTTATGTTGACCAGCAGACGCTGGAATGGCAATATGTCTATTAACACATATAAACACATATGGTGAATATGAGATGGATAAATGGAAAAGAAAAATGAAAAAGTGGAAGGAATATAGTGAGTTAGAAATATGTATGAGAAGAGTGTGAGAGGAGATTGTGTGGCTGGAGAACAGTTTGGGTGAAGGGAAGTATTGTGTGGCTGGAGAACAGTTCGGGTGAAGGGAAGTATTGTGTGGCTGGAGAACAGTTCGGGTGAAGGGAAGTATGTGGATGGGTAAGATGAGTGTATGAGTGTAGTGTGGGGAAAGAAGAGTATGTGAAAAATTGTGTGGGAGATAAAGTGTAGAAAGTATGTGGGTGACTGTGTGGGGTGATTGTAGGGGAGTGTGTGTGTGTGTACTAACCTATATGTACTCACGTATATGTGGTTGCAGGGGTCGAGTTATAGGTCCTGGCCCCGCCTCTTCACTGGTCGATACTAATTCTCTCTCTCCCTGCTCCATGATATTTGTCATACCTCTTCTTAAGGCTATTTATGGAACTTGCTTCCACTTCGCTCTCCAGATTGTTCCAGTTCCTAACATCCCTATGACTCATCTGGGTTTTCAGTTAATATTGTGTCCCCTTGTTTCTGTGTCCCATCTCTGAAACATTCTATCCTTGTCCACCTTGTCAATGCCTCTTAGTATTTTATACGTTGTTACCATGTCCCTGCTATCCCTCTTATCCTTTAGTGTCATCAGGCTGAGTTCCCTTAACCTCTCCTCATAAGACATACCCCTCAGTTCCGGGACTGATCGTGTTGCAAATTTTGCATTTGTGTGTGTGTGTGTGTGTGTATGTGTGTGTGTGTGTGTGTGTGTGTGTGTGTGTGTGTGTGTGTGTGTGTGTGTGTGTGTGTGTGTGTGTGTGTGTGTGTGTGTGTGTGTGTGTGTAGAGAAGTGTGGGTAGGTGAATGTGTTGATGTTAGGTTAGTCAAGACAGAGGCCCGACACGAGCCTCAGTCAACAACCCCATGTATTTCGTGAGTATGGAGTGTGTAGGATGCGGTGTAACAGAGGACAGGTGTAGGATATAAGGATACAAGTTTAAATGAGCATAGGTAGACAAAGAGAGGGGGGAAAGGGGAAAAAAGTTTCGAAAAAAATGAAAGATTAAAAAAAAGGTTGAGATAAGGGGTGCAGGAAGACAAAAGAAAAACGGCGATGCGCTTTTACCTTATTTATTATGTACAGAAATTAAAAAGGTAACTGATAAATGTCAGCACATCCAGGAAAATTTAAATATATGCAAAGTACTTTGTAATACGAGGTTAAGTGCAGTTGCGCATTTGTTTTTGTTGATATATGAAAAGGGGATTTTTTTTTTTCCTGAATGCTTTTTGTAAAAAATCCTACTTGGGCCCAGTATGGAAAATGAGGTTTTCTTGTGTCTGGAAAACAAGCATTCAACATTTTCCCACAGGGGGGAGGTGTTTCAGGAAAACGTATTTAGGCCCAAAAAAAAAAGTGAAGAATTAGATGCATGTGAACATCTGGGTATAAAACACCCAGTGGTTTTATCAACACACTACACGGACCAAAGGAAAGGGAAATATGGAAATATACAAAAGATGGGAAATTAGTCCTCACAGCTGGAAAGGGTGATAAACCCCTAGTCCGGGAGGATCTGAAGCACAAAGGGGAAGATGGAGCTTATATACTGGCGTCAGATGGGTGCGCATTGTCCTGGTTGGTGGGATTTCCCAGGGGAAGAGGTCATCCCCGGGGTGGACCGTTATAAGCGCTATCTTCGTCCCGCCCTTCACATTCTTAAGACTACGGTGACATCCCTATCCCAGGATGACAGACTAATTTCTAGCTTTTGTTACATTTCTACGTTTTCAGAGTACCCCAGTCCCATTGGTATTGAAAAAGCCTCTGGATGTGATGCGTTAAAAAGTACAGATCCCCATCTTATATGGGTACTGTATACCTTTCCCTATGAAATAAAATATTTTGTAGCGTGAAAAGACACAAAAATTTACCCTTTTAAAATGTGAGTCAAAACAACCCAAAGTTTTTTGGGAAAGAAAAAAAATTTAAGATATATACATTTTTTTGTTTTAATTTTCTCGGGGTTTTTTATACCCCTTTTTTAAAAGTGAAAAAAAGTTTCGAGTCCTGACCGCCCTTGGGTTTAATGACCCACGGGTTTAGAATTATGCTTCAGAGGAAGCCCCAACCTGGGGGTCAAAAAGCACCTATGGAATGGAGGACAGGCTCTTTTTTAGGAACGGATCACAGGTTCTTTTCCATAGCTTAAAATTCCCCTCCCAGCATAAAGGGCCCCTTCCTAGAGGCATGCGTTCAGCAAAAAGGACCCCCCTAGAGGATGCTTTTCAGCATAAAGGGCCCCCCCAGAGGCATGCGCCAGATCAAGGCCCCCCCCCCTAGAGGCGCTTTTCGATCAAGGACCCCCCCTAGAGGTATGGTTCAACTCAAGGCCCCTCCCTGAGGCAGCGTTCAGCTAAGGGGCCCCCCCCCTAGAGGCATGCGTTCAGATCAAGGACCCCCCTAGAGGGCTTTCAGCATAAAGGACCCTCCTAGAGGCATGCGTTCAGTATCAAGGCCCCTCCCTGAGGACGTCAGCATAAAGGGGCCCCTCCCTAGAGGCTTTTGCGTCCGCTCAAGGATCCCCCCTAGAGGCATGCGTCAGATAAAGGGACCCTCCTAGAGGCAGCGTCCAGCATCAAGGGGACTCTCCCTAGATGCATGTGTTTCAGCTAAGGACCTCCCTAGGGGCAGGCCCGCTAAAAGGGACCCTCCCTAGAGGCATGGTTCAACTCAAGACCCCCCTAGAGGCATGGTCGCATCAAGGCCCCCCCAGAGGCTTTGCTTTCAGCATCAAGGACTTCCCTAGAGGCATGCTTTCGCATCAAGGACCCTCCCTAGAGGAAAAATCTTCGGCATAAAGGCCCCTTCTAGAGGCATGCGTTCGCATCAAGGACCCCCCTGGGATGGTTCAGATAAAGGGCCCCCTCCCTAGAGGCATGCGTTCGAAAAGGACCCCCCCTAGAGGTGCGTTCGCATCAAGGACCCCCCCCTAGAGGCATGCGTTCAAGCATAAAGGACCCCCCTGAGGGCTGGTTCGACATCAAGGACCCTCCCTAGAGGCATGCGTTCAGCATCAAGGACCCTCCCTAGAGGCATGCGTTCAGCATCAAGGACCCTCCCTAGAGGCATGCGTTCAGCATCAAGGACCCTCCCTAGAGGCATGCGTTCAGCTCAAGGCCCCTCCTAGGGCTCGTTCAGCATAAAGGGCCCCCTCCCTGGAGGCATGCGCCGCATCAAGGACCCCCCCTGAGGGCTTGTGTTTAGTCACTCATTAATTTAATAAGGCCAATATTAGGATATATGATTGACTTTCAGAGTTTTAAGTGACTTTCTACCCTTTACCTGGGTGTCTTGAAGTTGAAGTTCTCTTGATCCAAGAAAGTGGAGCTACGCTCTTCTTCCTCGGATTCCATTTCCCCCAGAAAAATTTTCAGTGGTTCGTGTTAAGCTGTTTCCTTTAAATATATTTTAAAAATGCTTTATGAAATAAATCTGATTAACATCGAATCTTATCTCAGTTGAATAAAACAGTGGATAATGGAAAAGGCCTTCGTTGCGATGTAAGTGCGAGGGAAACCTGAAAATGGTCGGGACTTCTTGTGGGGGGTTTGTCGTTAAATGTTGTTTGGGAAAAATAGGGTTTAAAAATACTCGGATGCTGTATTTGAGTTAGTTTAATATTTTTATTTGACCCCCCCCATCTGTGGGCGGTAGTCACCCCTACCCCCCCTGTGGGCGGTAGTCCCCCAAACCATCCGGGGGGCATAGTAAAAAGTTACAGAGGAATAATTGGTCCAGGACTGGACCCAAAAGTTTTGATAGTGAGCAAGTTACAAAGGAATGAATCAAAATTTACAAAGGAAGAACCCCAAAATTTACAAAGGTAATAAACCCCGGTGGTTTTGTCAAATCAGACGAGTTAACCCAATTATGAAATTGAGACACGAATGAGCAAGGGGTGGTATGGATAGCGGGGGTTACGGTCCGCCCTTTAACATTGGTTATTTTGATATATAATTAGCAATTGTATATCTTACTTTTTCTCTTTTAATTTTCCGAGTGTTTTTATCAATCGTTATACTGTAAAAATGAGTGAACAAGCGAGGGAAAAGAGGGTGAATGAGTGAACAAGCGAGAGAGAGAACGAGCGAGTGAATGAGTGAAAAACCCAGAAAGTGAAGAGTGGAAATGGGGGTTCCCTGGTAGGTTCCGGGGTTTTTAAAACGCGATCGATTTTCCAAATTTTTAAAATTTTTTGTCCGGTTTTTTAAAAAGTCATCGGGGGAGGAAATCGATGTTTACTATTTTCATTTTTATAAACCTCTAGCAAATTCTCCCCAAAATTTAAATAGATGTAGGTTGATCTGCAGCAATACCCAAGGAGATATTACCATCCACTCATACGAGTGTGAATCGAAGATTGTGGGAAATGTTTTGCGTTTGGCAAGATTTTGTGTTCCCTGGCGCAGAACATAAAAGATAGCAGGATATCTTATATTAAAAATATTCAGAAAACATTAAAACTTTATTCCTAATGTTTTTTTGGGTTTGTATTACTGTAATTTTTCTTTCCTATTTAGGAGATCTGGTCTGAGACGGAAAGCGGAGACGATGATCGCGGAAACTTTAAAATGATACATATAAAAAAAATTTACAATTTACTTGTAGTTAGTGAACTTAGTGGATCCTCTAGTTCCCATAGCACACCTCCCAAAATAGATTAAAATTATATAACAAATGCTAAACCATAAGGACCCTTCAAATCTGCAGGAAGGGGTCCCAAAAGGGTATAATATGTTGGATCAGAGATCGGGAAAGGGGAAGAGTATAAGAGATGATTAGAAGGGCCGTGAGGAGTAAAGGAAGTGTAAAATTGCCCTCAGCGAGAAGAGAAAAAAGTAAGGGTGTTAGAGTGGTGGGGGGCCAGTGGTAAGGACAGGGGTTTTACAGAATATGGGAAACTGAAATTGGAACTTGCAGTTTCCCAAAATGGTATTTTGGGGGCCTCTCATGGTACCCCTGGTGAGCCGGGTGTGCCCGATGCTAAGTGGGGAGTATAGTTCCCAAAACGATGTCGATGATAAAGTGGAGAAATTTTCTCCCGGAGGGGGGTTCAGCCCCCTTCAGCCCCTTTCAGCCCTGAGGGGCCCCGCCCCTTTAAAGGGCAAGCATCTTGTTTACTGTACAGCAAGTAATGATTCAAAATGCGGAAACCCGTATGCGCGTGGTCAAGCGCCGACACTACTTGCAAAAATCCCGTGTTGCAAAGTGTAGTTTAATAAAAGGAAATCCATTCCCTTTCCTTTGCAGGAAATTAGGAAAATCCTGCTCCCACTTTATTCCTGGTAAAGATATTTTACTTTTTTTGCCTATGCTTAAGCGCAAGAATCAAAATTTTGTTTTGTTCTGGGGAAGTGGCAAGGAAGCAAAAGTACTAGGTCAGCTTTTCCTTAGTGTAGGGGTAGTGCGGGTAGGGCTGTGGGCAGATTTCTTTTGACTTTTACTGAGGGCCATGATCCGGATAACCAAAAAAACATTGATCTGTGTGTTAGTGGAAGTTCACAAAACACATAAACACTTCAGAGAAGTTGTTTCAGTTCTTTGTGATAAAATGGAACAATAAAGACAAAACTTTTTGGAAATAGTTTTACCGTGTGCGTATTCTAGACTTGGAAGCCCTGGGCATCCAAGGACCTTCGCTTCTATCAAGTCACCAATACCGTCGAAGGGGTGAAGAAAAAACCTTTGCTACGCTACAAGGCAAATTTGGGGTTTTAGTTTCTTGTAGTACGGGGGACTGTGCAGTTCTTTAGTCGCAAGGGGTTTGTAATCAACCTATAGTCGCAGTGAGGTGCAGACTTTTGAGTCCACAAAGTCGTAAATCAGCCTCAGGATTAAATAGAAAAAAGAGTCAACAACAGTCCTCTAAAATTATGTTTCCGATATTGGACAATTTGAAGGTTAAGTCCATCCCCTTTACTCCCTGGAGAA